TAGGTGGAAGAATACTCGCAAAATTGTGATGCAAAGTAATTGCAATAGCAGTCGAAAAGTGCCAGTCCGCCACTGATACCGAAAGTCACGGTGACGAAGATGTCTTTACGCACAAAGTAACACTGGCTCAGTGTATTTATACCACTTCCGAGATACACAATAAAAATGATATAAAAGAAATACAGGAGTCTGACACTGACTTCCTAACTTTTAACAAAATATAGTAAATCCGCCACTGACGTCCTAACTGAGAATTCAACACTGCAAACCAATCCCTGAATGAGCCACACTTCCTTGAAAGCTCTGGCAGCACTGCTATGAAAGTGCTTACGAATATTTCCTCCTCTAACTTCTCAAAACAAAGCTGACCTCTATTGGCTCACCAGGTCATAAACAGTCATATCTAAACGTAAATAGTTTCTTTCTTCAGAGCTAACAAATAAACATCTGACATGAATGTTCATGAGTTTGTTTGGGTTTCAAAGCCAAGGTCAAACTGCCAGCACTCACAAAGGAAGCACGTGGCTTGTCCCTAAAAATTATAACATTCGGCCAGCTCGGGGTGCTACTTGATGCGAATAATTATAACATTCGGCCGTTAAAGGTTAAGCCAAGTAGAAATGCAGTGTACAGTGCAGGAATGTGTTCTGTAAGTTTGTTGCAGCCCCCTCTTTGTGGTGCTGAAAAATGTATGATATTGAATTTGAGCATGAAATATGTAGTATTTTTATGTTAAAAAATCTTCTCCATTTCTTGACATTATCCATCATCTTGTTTTTATTTAAAACACAACATTTCGAAGACTGGATTCCGTCTTCAGGTAAAACGTACTGAATTGGGCCCAGTCGGTAGAGCTATAAGTTGTATGATTAAACCTGCAAATCAGACAGACAGCTGTGAATCACCAGAAAAATATATTCTCCGAGGGAATTGCCCAAGGTAGGATCAGAGAAATAGAAATTTGAGGATGCCAAATCATTCAGTGGCCCCTAAAGACAGTAACTTTCATGAAGCTGAAGAACCATTTTTCAGTTTGTGTGTACTGAACAACAAAATGGAATGCCAGTTTCGTGTAACTTCATTGAACTCAGAACATGAGAAACAGGAAGAACAGTAACTATCACAAGACAGGAATTCATAGCTAGCAGAGGGCAATGAAGTTGGGTTATGGTGGAAACAGTGAACCTCCAGCAACAATTTTGCGAGCTGTACTACAGCCTGAAGGTCGTGGTTTCGATTGCCAGTGTCATTGGTTTTTTCCAATTGACCTAATCCTTCCAACTATGGGCCTGGGGTTGATTCAGCCTATAACAGAAATGAGTACCAGAAATCTTCCTGGGGGTAAAAGGCGGCTGGTGCATAAGACTGACAACCTCACCACCATCACATTGATGGTAACATGATGGCTGCCCTCAGCATAGAGAACAAGTTGTACAGGTGAAGGATTTGAGGTTCTCACAGCAGTAGTTATGAAGTCTGCTATCTTCTGGGGTATAACACTGTGCAGTCCATTGAAAGTGAACCAAAATGGTGGTTGACTTTCAGTGGACTGCACAGTGTTATATTCTGTAAAGTGTGCATGGTTCGGCAGAAAGCAAAGAAACAGCAACATACTTTAACAAACATGGAAGAAGTAAACTAGATCATGTTTTTAATGTAATACATTATTAATTGTGTATAATTTCGGTATCTACATACATTTTCATTTCCTTGATTTTACATTCAATTTAAATGGTCCCTTCAGAAATGTAAAGCACAGGTTTCACTGTATTATAAAGGCTTCATGAGAATGATTCACTGAGAAAGTAGGCTCATGTGGTAATACTTTAGACTTGTGTTCAGGAGGTAACCAGTTTGAATCTGGGCCAGGACACTGACCACCATGGCTGAGAATGTTATACTTCTTTTGGCTTATTTTGGACTCTATCTGAGAATGTTATAGTTTTCTTCAGTTCCTCCAGGTAATCCATAACTGCTTCCTCCCCAATCCTTTCTCAGTGAAGAGTAATATTTTCTGGGCTGTAACACCACGTAAGCCACAATTGTTTTGGATTAATGTATTGCCTCCATCTTCATGGTCGAAGAATAAGCCAAGCAAGAATGGATCACACTTCTTGGTTTCTCTCTTGGCTTACTCTTTGCCCCTGAAAATGGATATAGTGTATTTCTCTGAAATGTCATTGAACTTAACCAGGCTACATGGCTGTACATCCCAGGAGAGTACTGTTCATAGTCTCTGCTCTGTAAACCTCAAACACAAACTTTGTAATTAATTTTTCACTAATCCTAGCATTTTTTGTTTTTTTTATTGCTAGTGGGGTGGTACTAAGTCCCTTGTACTGCGGCCACTTCTGGCCTATTGTACCAGCCCCAGATGATAGTTGAGGGTGATTGTGGAGCAATTGGTGGAATGAAGATTGGCAGGGGAAACCAAAGTACGTGGAGAAAACCTGCCCCAGTGCCACTTTGTCCACCACAAATCCCACTTGACCAGACCTGGGATCAAACCCGGGCCGCCGCAGTGGGAAGCCAGCAACTAGCCGCTTGAGCTATGGCGCGGTCTCTGCTAACAGTTAGCATTATGTAGTGAGAGCTGCTGATGGGGAGCAGTAGAATAATGTTACTTACGTATGTTGCAGCAAAAGATAGAGATGTTGGACAGCCTGTTGGAAATAGAGATTGCATACACCATGCTGAAAGCAAAGTCTGGTGGGGAAAGCAGTGAGCATCCTCTGGATGCCCACTATGCTAAACTCAACACTCACATTGAAGTGCTAGACAAGGACACAGAAGAATTTGAGCTGTTGAAACAGTATGTTAGCAACACCCATGCAGCGACACACACTCAGTATGAACTGGAAATTGTGGAGGTATGTTTAGTGACTATTCATATTGTGGTCTGGTATGTGGGTACCATCATTTCAGAGGAATATTACGTCCATCTTCAAGCTGAAAGTGAGCCGAATTGGGGAAGTACGTGGAGGTATAGAAGTGAGGAGATGGAATGTCACAGAGGATAGAAGTGGCATATAAGAGCCATTCTTTTTATTCAGTTCTAAGCACTTCCATTTTGTTGAGCTGGAATAGCATAGTCGGTAGAGTGACTGACTACAGGCTGGATGACCATAGAGTCAGAGTTCGAGTCCCAGTAGGGACACAAATTTTCTCTTCTCCATGCCATTCACACTGGCTCTTGGGCCCACCCAGGCTCCTATCCATTGGGCATGGGGGCCTCTTTCCCTGGGGGGTAAAGCAGATGGTGCATGAAGTTGACCATTCACCTACAACTAGTGCCGATATCGAGAAAATCTGGATCTGTACATCCACTCAATGTACATCTTCATGGCATAGTGCTTAGTTAAGCACAGGGACAACTTTACCTGCTTAGCATGCTTAATTAGTCAAGCACAGGAACAACATATTTCAGCCTAATTGGCTGTCATTAAGCTGATGTTACATTCATTTTCCCATTTAACTGTTGTGTGTACATTGGCTAACGTTTACATTAGAAAATATAGGTATTAGTAGTGTGCAGTTGTGCGTGCGTGCAAGAAGCCACGTGTGCACACTTTTGTAAGGCTAAAGTTAGTGTTAATTTTGTAAATATTTTAGTTAATTATGTTGCAGAATGGCTGTGTTCTTGTGTTCATATATCACACATGGGTACTGTTTCTTCAGTGTGGACTGTAAAAGCTGTAGGTTTTTCGTGGGTAGTAGTCGTCAGGTTTATTGTGTATGTATCATGTTCCTACCTCAGCTTTCTGTGTAATTCCTTCCTTTCATATGGATATTCTGGAACACTTTCTCTAATTTTTCGATGTTCAGTATTGTTAAAGGCTGTAGATTTGATTGTCATTTTTATGTGGCAAGCTTATCTCGTCTTGGTTTCCTTTTGTTTTTGTGAAAGGAGTGTGTATTTCTTTTGTTTATCTTATTATATTTAAGCATCCTGTTGCACTCTACACGATAAATGATACAAACTCCGTCCTAAGTGCAAACAATATATATTTATATGTCTTTGATCTTGTTCTTTCTACACTACATGTTTCGGCCTCTATCGGCCATCATCAGGTGTATACTCTTAACGTCGCTGCCACACTGAACCCAGTCTAAAACTTAACATTTAAAAACACAATGTCACATTCTTCGTATTATCAACATCTACACCGTTGATATGTGTCTGGTATGTAGATTATGTTTCACCCGTCGAACCCAATATTCTTGTAGTAGCACTCTAAAAATCTTTAGTTATGATGTTTTTAAAACCTTTTAAAATTTTCTCCAAATTTTAAATTTAAAATTTAAAATTCTTAGGGTTACTCGCCCTATGTCTACGTGCTGGAGCGGCTAGTTCTTGTTTTCACACTGTACAGGTGTTATTTAATGTAGTCTTCTTGTGTGAGTGCCGCTGCTTGTCTGTACTACGTTTTTTGTTTATCTTGTTTGTTAGGATGTTAGTGGAGAGGTCTGTGTGTTATCCAAAATATTTTGACCTAGTAACAAAACAATGACAAACAAAACTATGTAACATCTGCCATCTGGATTTTCAGTTGCAAACAGTGGCGAGTGTGCAGAAGCAACAGTGAGATGGATAAATGAATGTAATAACAGTATGATGATGGCCAGTTAGGCTGAAACATAATAGCAAAATAATATGAAAGACATATAATTAATTATATGCCACTGGATCTTCCACATCTGTTATACAACATGACACGCCAATGCAATATTATAAGAAAAGGCTCAGCCCAGTTAGGCCTTTTGTGAGAAATTTTCCATATATGTAACCTAAAAATTGAAGTGTTGGTGATTTTTGTCATTATGATGAAGTCTGTTATGGTTACACAGTTGAAAGGTGTAATAATGAATAGAAGCACATTTTCTGAATGATGTATCCGCAGACATGCTGAACACAGCTGTTCTTTCTTTGTGGAAGGGTAAACATAATAGAATTTCATTACAGGTTTACTGGTTATAAAAAAGCCATTGGTGCTGTGCGTTTCATTGAGGGATAGCCAGTGAAAGTTTTATTATATGAAGTTTTTGTCTGAAAGTTCCTGGACTAGGTCAGAAAAGAAATGCTGCCTCATCTGCTTCAAAATAGTCTCTTTGGGAACATATACAGCAATCCCATTATTTTTCCCATGCTTCAAAAGCGCCATGGAAGTCATTTTCCTTAATGCTGTCAAGTACTCTTTGCAATTCCCCTTGGATGTCGGACACTGTTTCAAAATGTCGTCCCTTCAGTTTCATTTTCAATTTGGGAAACGAAGTGAAATCACAGGGGGCTAAGTGCGGCAGATAGGTAGGATGGGGAACAATAACCGTGTTGCTGTTAATCACAAACTCTGTGGCTTTCGGGGACGTGTGGGCGGGCGCATTGTGATGAAGGAACCAGTTGTGATTGCGCCAAATTTCCGGTCTTTTTCATTGCACATTTTCTATCAGGCATCTCAGAAGGTCACGATAAAAGTCAGAGTTGACGATAGTGTTAGGAGGAACAAATTCATAGTGAAAAATAACAGTGAGCATGCTCTTTGTTGAACTCTGGACCTGCCACTGTGGGTTCTTCGATTGTGGTGATTGTTGCTTTGTTTCTGGATTATAACTGTAAATCCAACTTTCATCACCCAGTATGATCCTAGGGATAAAAGTTGGGTCCTCAGTAGCCTTCTGTCATAGCTCAAAATGCACGTTTATATGCCACTGCTTTTGCTCGTTTGTCAAGAGTTGGGAGAGCAAACTTCGCGGCAGTGAGCTGCATGTTCAAATTTTCCATTAAGATCACCTGGCAAACTATAACTGATCCCAGTGGTGGCTGCAAGCTCACGGATTGTCCGGCAACGGTCTTCGTGGATAAGTTCTCAAATTCTTTCAACATTTTCTGTTGTTTTGCTGGTGCTTTGTTGCCCTGAATGTTCATCATCTTCAGCTGACACTTGACAAGCCTTGAAATGTGATTACCATGCAAAAATCACTGTCCATACTAAGTATTGTTCTCCAAAAGCCTCACAAAGCATTTCTAAGATTTCGGTAGTGGATTTACCAAGCTCCACACAAAATTTGATGCAGAAACGTTGCTCAGTTTTGCCATCCATCACAGACAAAACGAAACATGAAGTCAAAAAAGCCCTCATATAAAAACAGTGCGTGTTCACAGTGTAATGTCACATGGCAGACTGATGCAGTAGGCTTGCAGGAGTGTAATCTTGGCCTCCCCTCTCATCTTTCTCCAAGGCAGTTACAACAATTACAGTCCGGGAACTTCCAGAACCTCAGAGCCCAGGATTTTGACTTTTTAAAGATATGTGGCAGAAGTGCCATACTTAGGGGTCAAGAGATCTTGGCTTAATTCACCGTTTGCACAAAAAGTTCCAGTCCCTAGCCATTCCTTGCTTACCATCCCGTAACATACTAAACATAAAATTCTGTTATAAAATATGACTACAAGATATCCTTTGTTCTGAAAATTTACTGTTTGGCATCTGTGAGGAAACAAGAGAAGAGAATGGGAATTATTTATATAAATGAATAAATTGCAAAATTTCTCCACTTGTCTGCCTTAATTTTCTTATGCATTACCGATGAGTGGACAAGTTGATTTACTGATCCCTGATTATTCTTACCTATCCAAAAATATTTTGTAACAAGATTCTTTTCATATTTCAAACATTTTATAAGAATTACTGTTTCTTTTAATTTTCCACGGAAAACTCTTATTTTCTTCTTTGTATACTTTTAAAAAGTTTTTCAGAGAATTTAAACTGTTAATTGATGTGCACAAAAAATCAGTCTATCATAAGAAAATATCATGTGATGTATATGCACAAAACAGTCTTCATTTGATAAAGCTAGTATAGAATGATGTTAAAACACAATAATAAGAAAATATATTTGATATTACTTTCTTTCTGTGCAACTATGTCAACCAGCAAACATTCTTAGTATTCCTAGCAAGCATTTCCATGGCAGAATGCAGCAGTTGGAGGTTTAATTTAATAGCACATCCGTTTAGAAATACAAAGAAGTGTTGTGCAAACTTTGGTTAATCCTGTTGCTTGTGTATGTAGATTGAAACATTTGTTATCAGGTGTTCAAGGTGAAGCGCAGTGGAGAAGAGAAAAGATACAAACCTTTCAGAAAGTTACACAACCGGAAATTGCTTTGGCATGGCTCTCGTCTCACCAACTTCGCGGGGATTTTGTCACAGGTATGATTGCCGGAATGCTGTAACTTTACTGGCCCTGCATTAAATTATTGCAGAATCACATGCATAGTCTAGCTGGCCAAACATTTTAAGATTTTTAGGCCTTTAAATCAATTTATGCTGTAAATGGTACAGACTTTGTGCAGCCTTTGGTAGAGTATGTGCGCCACCAAGACAGTGATTGCTACCAGTGGAGCTTGTATTTTTTAAAAAGATAAGTGAGGTAAGGTAAAGCTATCCTTGTAATAGGCCGTGAAGGCCCGTAGGGTTGTGAGATGTCAAGGCTCCCACACTTTCTAGACAGTTGGCTAACAGATGGCAGTGAGGTTAAGTAAAGATATCCCTATAACAGGCTGTGAAGGCCTGTAGGGTTGTGAGATGTCAAAGCTCCCACAGTTTCTAGACATTCAGCTAACAGATGGCAGTGAGGTTAAGTAAAGCTCTCCCTGTAACGGGCCATGGAAGCCTATAGGGTTGTGAGATGTCAAAGCTCCCACAGTTTCTAGACAATCGGCTCACAGATGGCAGTGAAATTAAGTAAAGATATCCCTATAACAGGCTGTGAAGTCCCCTAGGGTTGTGAGATGTCAAAGCTCCCACAGTTTCTAGACATTCAGCTAACAGATGGCAGTGAGGTTAAGTAAAGCTATCCCTGTAACAGGCCATAGAAGCCTATAGGGTTGTGAGATGTTGAGGCTCCCACAGTTTCTAGACACTCAGCTCACAGGTGACGGTGAGGTTGTCAGCCTTACGTGCCAGCCGCCCTTTACCCTATATAAGATTCATGGTACTCATTTTTGTTAGAGGCTGAGTCAAACCCAGGGTCATAGAGCATCTGGAAGGATTAGATCAATTAAAAAATCCTAAAATCTCCTAGAGAATGAACCCACGACCTTCTGGCTTGTAGTATAATTCCTCAACTATGCTAGTGCAGAATATAGTTTTAAAAATATATTTATTTTAATAATTCAGTTGGATGCCCCTGAGGATGGTCTTAGAGGCTGAAGTAATATAGGTTAGATTGATCATTCATTGATTAAATAGTATACTCTATTGGATGGTGTTTCCTGAATAGAAGATCTTATCATGCTTAAGTGGTTGCACTGCGCTGAGCCCTCACTCGGAAAGTAACAGAAGCAAGAAGGTGCACTGGCTGGTATCGAATTATAAATTTGTTTGACATGTTGCAGATTGATTTATGTACATTAATTTCAGGGTTTGCGAATTGCCCCTCCAGAAGCTCCGGCTACAGGTTATATGTTTGGTAAGGGTATCTACTTTGCAGACATGGTCTCTAAGTCTGCTAACTACTGCTGTACTTCTCCGAAGAATCCAGTTGGATTGATGCTGCTGTGTGAGGTAGCTTTAGGAAATATGTAAGTAAACATTATGCACTGTTTTTAGAGTTATGTGAATGGCCGGTGTTGTAACCAGGATATTCATAGGTACAGCAGGTGAAAGTGCTTTACGGAATAAGATGTTGCACACAGGGACCTGGCAGTTTTAGAGTAAGGCAAATTTCATATTTGGATAAGGTGAAGTTTTCAGTCTACAAACAAGAAAATCCATATACAAATCTGACCTGTAGACTGAAACCTTCACCTCGTCCAAATATGAAATTTTGGGAATGTGAAAACAAGCATCCCACCCTGAATGATTCCGAGCACCCATTATCCAGTCAAGTGGTTGTGACATATGTAGATGTTACACGTGTTTCTAACTACTCCATTGTGGATATAATGCCAGTCAACGGTGGTAACTTGTATGCTGTGCTTGCAAGATGTTCTGGCTACTTCAGAGTGTAACAGGAAGTTGATTGCTTGATAGCTGTCCTGGGTTCGAGTTCTTTTGACTAAACATTTTGGCAGGTTCTAGCAAGAAGATGCATGTGATGAGGGGGTATTTTATGAACTGTTACAAGAGAATGAATACAGTGATATTTCAGAGAGTGAAAGTAGTAGTGAAAGTGAAATAATTGTGTGTGTGCGTTTTTCTGTGTTTGTATACGGGTAGAGGCTTTGCGACAAGCTGATCACCTGCCCAAGGAGTCCTACCAAATGTGTTAGATCTAGAAAAACCGAAATGAACGGAGAAGTTCATGGAGGTAGGCCTAGGCCCACTGGGGCTGTAGTGCCAAGGAAAAAAACAATCTAAAGTGGGACAGCAACAGCTGTAATTAAACTGCCATTACGCTGAATCCTATGCATGAGGCTTCAAGCATCTCATATCCACCTCACCTCAGAAGTCATCATTCTCATGCTTTTTCCAGTGTTGTGATATGTAATCATTAAAACATCTGCAGTGCCTGCATCAGACATTATTAAGGGATTTGTATTTGTGGACAGTGGAATTTAGATGTTGCTTTCCTGTTGTAGGTATGAGCGAAAATCAGCTGATTACATAAAGAAATTGCCAAAGGACAAACACAGCACCAAAGGCTTGGGTAGAACTGCGCCAGATCCAAAAGGCAGTGTGTTGCGGGAAGATGGGGTTGAAGTCCCAGCTGGTAAAGGAGTTTCAGTTGGTCATAATGATGTGTCACTCTTGTATAATGAGTATCCTTTCATATAATCATATTCAAATACTTCTTGGAAGGTAGTGTTAAGGGTACAGTGGCTGGTTGATTCCTCTCACATCTGTGGGTTAACAGTTTTTAACAATATGTGGTCCATGCCAAGGCTATGTGACAGACTGAAACATGGCACCTTGTCCTGCTATAAAAATTATCTAAATTAAAATTCACATTCAGTCAGAAAATACACAGTCTAGGTCGAAGGGGAACTGTTCATGCCAAGCGGTATACCCACAAGGTTCTACCCTATCCCCCACTTTATATATATATATATATATAATGGATTTGATCAACACATTGCCAGGGAATAGCTCTGTAAACACAGCCCAACATGCAACAGTAGAGGAAGCTGTGTTCTCCATGTCCATGGTGGTGTCATGACAGTGGATGGTGATCACATTACACGTGTTTTCTGTACACCCAACTGACACACCAATAGGCTGGCTGCATAGCGATCATGTGATATGTGTTCACTATAGGCTCATGTCCATTCCTCAGCTATGTAAGGAAAACAGTTACAAGTGACAAATAAATAGCAGCAGAAGCCCACGAACAAACAAGCAATGCGTAGTTGAAGAAGAACTAGAGGTCGGCCTGTGAAGACTTAACTTGTGATTAGAAGGCTTCATTCATGTGTAGTATTTGGAGTGTGTGATTCACTGAGACTGTTATAATTCACATGTTACAGATGCATGAAGACTAGTGCGGTTAGACGGAGAATATTAGTGTGGAGTGATTGTACATTGTGTAAAGCAGCAGCAGTGTAATAATTAATTGTAGTTAGAACCTGCAGGTTATTAATCCAAGTACCAATCCGAACCCCATGTACTGTCACTGATACATATGACAATATAGACGATGCTCCCCAACCACCTGGTGTCTGTCTAGGTCTCTTTGCTGATGACATCTGTATATATGCAACAGATCACAAAGAGGGTTATGTTCTCAGAAAGCTGCAGCGAGGTCTTGGTGATATTGTGAAATGATGTGACCGCTGGAACATAAAAATCAATGAAGATAAGACTCAGGCCATTTTCTTTTCTCATACCCTTAGGCCCTCTGAGGCTTATCTTACATTGACTGAATGGAATAGCCCCTTCATCAGTTATGTAAAATATCTCAGTGTAATTTTAGATAAGAGGATTACGTGGAGACCGCACATAGAAGTGATAGAAGCCAAGGTCTTCAGAACATAGAGTCTACTTCCTATTCAGAAGTGAGCGTACATGCACTAACATCGAGCAGACCTCTATAAACCACTGATTAGATTAGTAGTGACTTATGCTGTCCCTCTGTGTGAATTTGCAGCACCTGCAAAACAAAGTTGCAGCACCATTGAAGTTTTCCAAGGTCCACACAGGTCCACAACTTGCACGCGGCTTTCAACCTTTGATATGTATATGATTTGATAACAAAATTGTGCAGGCAACAAGCAGAGGTCGTACAAAATCATGAGAATGTCCATGTTTGCAGCATAGGACAAGGGAAAGCCAGACATACAAAATATATTGAGGCTTAAACTTGGTGCCCATCGAGCTCATGACCGTTTAACTTACTAAGCTGCTGTTGTAGCATGAGCTAAATGAGATAGCCATGATTTGCTTTGCAAAGCCTGGCGTGACAGAGGGATTGTATATAGTGTAAAGGAAGGATTTTCAATAACATGCTGCATGTGTGATACGTACACTTGACGAAAGGCCAGCGTATTCATAAGAGACAAACCCATCCTCTCGTCAGAGAACATGTTACTCAGGGACTATGACTGCAAGAGTTCAGTTTAAAAAGAACTCTGGTCATGGGCCTGAAGAGGTTTGGCTCCAAGTCAACCTGACTGGCAGTAAACTGCCAGTCATAAGGTAACTCTGACTCTGGTTAGTCAGACATGGCCTGGAAGCTAAGAACGTGAGCACATTAGGAGGTGAAACAGTTGCCAGCCGGTAACAACCTGAACAGAGGAGGACACTGTTGCAATCCATTACCAAGCAACGACCGGTAAAGACAACAGATTTAGAAGTAGATTGTGTGAATTAGCGATATCTCTAGGCTCTTAAATCATGACACTATTTTATAAGTATTGAGGTTTTCATGGCAGTTGTCAAATTGCAATTTCCTGGGTTGTGTAGTCATGTAGGCAGATTGAAACCCTGAAGATGGACGCAGCAGTCAGTACCCACCTGCAAGATTCTGTGGTGTTACAGTCCAAGTATATTATATTTTAATGTGAGAACCATGGAAAATTTGACTTAAACCTAAAATATCACTTCAGTATAACTTTTAGTGAGTTTGTCTTTAATGAGCTGATTGAATTTAAATTAAATGTGAAATTAAGGACAACAAAATAGTAAAGGGGACATAAGGGAGGGTTTGATGATAATAGGTTGAAACATGTAGCCATGGCCTGTTGCAGGGATGACTTTACCTTTTTTATTATGAGCAACATTGGTCGTGTGGTGATAGTACATTATAGTTCAAAGAGAAGTCCACAGTATCACTCGAAAATAACATTTTTGTGCAACTGATGATGTTGGTAATGTGACAGGCAAACATATAATGAGGTCAGACAGCCACTCAGCTTTATGTTAGTGGTTATATATAAATTTTTAACGGGCTGCTGAAATATTGTTAAATGAATTAAAGAGGATGGAGTTGGAGGTGATGCAAAAATAAGTTCTCAGCTTTAGTACTTTCTTTATATATCAGATTTCTTGTTTACTTTGTTTATTTCAGTTTCTTGGCAATGTTTCCTTAACCTGTTTCCCAGGTACATTGTATATGATGTGGGTCAGGTGAACATCCAGTATTTACTGAAAATGAAGTTCCATTACAATTACTGAGTTCAGTATCTGACTGTAAGACTGGCTTCTTGTTTTTATGAAGAATTGTGGCATTTTGTTAACACGGTGCATGACTGAAATTATTACTGTTTGTTTCCATATAGCTTTCTACATGCACATACAGTATATTTAGCTAAGGAAATAAATTAATGCTTTGTGAGAAGTCATTTATAGTTCTGCTCGGATACTTCATGATACCAGAGATCAGACCGGGAAATAGTTCAAGAAGTTTGTAGTAACAGGTGTGCTCTTTATAGTTAATTTGAATAAAATCACAGTAATTTGTGTTACTCAAGGGAAATGCATGTGATATAGTTTTTGCATTTATCATTTGATTGTGAAACCTCATTAAATATTATAATTCACAAATAATGTAAGGAACATCTTTAATTTTCTGTCAGTTTGTGCAAATGTTCTTCGTGCTTTAACTACAGTTCTGTATGGTTATCATTTGCTCAGAGCTAATAGCATGAATTATAACCTATCCATCACAGTTAACCCTTCAGTCAGTACATTTAAACACCTCAGTTTTCTGCATTTTAAACAATTATTTAATACAGGGGACTCAGATATGCAGCCCGCCAGTTAATTTTATTGTTCTAGATTGCTGCTAGCCTCAGTGCAGAGTAATATATTAAACTTTTTATCACGTATATTTTTTGGTCAAGAGCCAACAAGGTTAAAGAAGTCATGCTGCCCTCTCGTCTTTGTTATCCATAGCCGTTATATGGAGGACAGAGCCTCTGGAACCCTGTGCTCTGTGGCTGGTAACTGCTGCCCAGGAGTTGGGCACTTCCCAGGGTTTTGCTTTTGGAGGACAGTAAACCAAAATGGTCCTTATATGGTCATTGTTCAGTCATGGTATTAGTGCAAAGAAACTATTGTATATACGTAAAAACTAATCTTTAAAAACCCTCAGAAATGTGTTAATTCACCCCAGGAACTTCAGGATCACCGCTGCCCATAAATTGAAGTAAATCTAAATTTCAAGTCAAAACTATTTGTATCATGCCTAAAATGTAACAGTACAAATTTACCGTGTAAGATCTGCTTTACAAAGCATTGTTCACCAGGTTTGTAGCTTATGTCTTTTGGAGCTTGGTGGTATTTTGGTGATTGTAACCATTGCATACAGTTGTCAGATCTTATCTCTTCCATAAATAAATTTGGCTATCAAGTGTATCTTGCAACATGTGTGTGATATGTATTTTATTTTGTGATGTCTGTCAGAAATGACGAAGAGGAAATTCAAGAATGCGGGTCATGAATTTCATGAAAAATGGGAAAATGCTCGTATTTAGTGTAATGCATGATAAAATTTTTTGCATCAAGGAGGTATATAGTTTGTGCCAACATTACAAAACTTTGCACAAAGTTTGATGTTTAGAAATGAAGCTAAGAGAAGACAAATTACAGAATATTAAATCAGGAATACAGCAGGAGCAAAATATATTTCCTGTTGCCACTAAATCAAATGAGAGCAGTTCATGGAAGTTTTGGTATTTCACAAATTATTGCAGAGAAATCAGAAGCATTTGCAGATGGTGAGTATGTGAATGAATAGGTTTTTAAAGCAATCAGTCTTCCTACAAACAGAGTAGCTGATAATTTGAATGGTTTGACAGAAGATATACAGTGTCAGCTCAAATAAAATCATAAGAATTCTGTGGTATATTCAGTTGCAACTGATGAGAGCAGATGGTACAGATTGTACAGTTTGTGGTTTTCAAGCTGTCAGTGAGGACTTCCAATTAGTCACACTCTTAGATTTGGTCCCTATGAAAGGGACTGCAGGTGCTGATGATATGTTTTCTGAACTGGTGACACTCTTTAGTAAATATAAATTGTCTTGCAGGGAAAAATGATTGGGTTTATTGGTGTCAAGAATCTGGCTATGACTGACAAAAGTAACAATGTTGCTGCAAAATTAAAAAAAAAAAACGGCAATTTGAGATAGTAATTTCTTTAGTGTTCTTTGTATTCTTCCTAAAAAATTTTAAAATACTTACCTAATGGATACTGTTGTTAAAACTGGATTTTTATTCATGCAAGTGCCCTTCACAATCGTGAATTTGTATCATTATTTAGGTAAATAGAAGTGAACAAGGTGAAATAATTTACTGCACAAACATGGGGTACGACAGTTTTGCAGCAGGTCTCTTAATTATTGAACGAGATCAAAGTATTCGTTGAAAAGATGAACAAAAGAGAATAGCTGGATGATGAAAGATGGATAATTGATCTGTTGTTTTGGTGTGGATGTGACAGTCTGCTTAAATGCTCTTTAACAGAGAGCTGCAAGGGAAAGATGAAGTCATTACAGAGATGTCTGACAGCATCAAGGCTTTTAAAGTTACATACATTTCAGGTGTGGGAAGATCAATTAAAGGAGCATAACTTTATTCACTTTCTGCACCAGAAGTCACTAGAAACTATATCCCTGATAGTGTTCAAGAATGTTGAGCATTTTCTGCTGCAAGAGGAGCTCAAATGATTCCAGGAACCTCGAAATTATGGAACTGGGATTTATGTTGTTGCATGCTTTTTCCTTTGCAGGTGGACATTGAGAAGGTTTAAGGAAAATTTGCAAATGGAATTAATTTCAATTGCAGTACTAACCCGAACAGGACCGCAGGATTTATATTCATGTTTGCTGTAACAAAAATTTCCTATGTAAGATTAGTTGTGATCTTTGGCAGCAAATGCATGTAAGAGCAACAGTGATATTAAAAGTCGATCTGGATTGACAGATGGACACATGAAATCCGTTTTATCTCATCCAGGTTAAAAAACCTCAGCTTGCCAAAATGATATCAAGTCTCCAGTCAATGTACATGGCGTAGTGTAATACTATTTATAATGTACAGTAGAACATTGAAGCTCGTGATGCAAGGGTCGGTCTAGGCCAGTGGTTCCCAACCTGGGGTCCGCGGGATAGTTTATCATGTTTCTTACACTTGGGATATTTGCAATGTATATCTCTGGCTCTTTGAGGCCCATGGTTGAAGTAAAATTTAAGGGGACGGTTGGTACCGTTACTTCTCCCCTTTGTAAAGCAGAGGTGAATGTCAAACGATTTGTGTAGCTTTTTCCAAGGACATTTTCTTTTGGTCGGCCCGTTTCATCTCAGAACAGTGTTTCAGGGTGGACTGCTGACCTTCTTACCTGCTGTCTGACCATTCTCCCCCTCCACCCCCACCAAATCCATCCCTCTTTGGTTGGGACTATTGACCACGTTTCTTATTCATTTCAGTGGCAGAGTGAACAACCTGTGTGTCTTTAGTTTTTGTGCAGTGGATTTTTATAATATTATACAAGTGTTTTCTTCTCGGTTTAATATTCAGTTTTTCTGCTCTTGTTCAAATAATTGAGTTCACAACGAAACTTATGATTTTCAGTTTGTTTACGATCTTATTTAGATATGGATCGGTAGTTAAAGTGCGGATCGTTGATTAGGTGAGTGTTAAATTCATAATATTAGGCCTAATTGATATGTTCATGATCTTCCGAATAAGCTCCATTTATAACAGTAGTTTATTGTCATAAATGACACATTTAGTGTTGTAAAATTGTAAGTTATTGTTTCGCCTTTATTATATGTAAAATATAAAAAATTTCCGTTTTGGGTTTTATGGGGGCCATGGTCAATTAACATTCGGTACAGGGGATCCGCGGCATGATAAAGGTTGGGAAACACTGGTCTAGGATGTTCCCTTACACATTCATTCTTAATATTTGCAGCATAAAATCTAATAATTTTTCCTTAATTTCTTGAAAGTGTAACCGCTAATGATAATTAGGCCCAATTATAATGTAACAAAGTTTAATTTAAACTATGTAGTTTGTCTTGTTTCTCTTGTAACAAAGGAGATAGGGAAGCGGTAGCCTTCTTGCACTGAGAAGGTGCCGTAGGCCCATTCATGCTGTAAATGCACATGTTGCTACATCCGCCCACTTCTGGAAATTTGTAGTTTTGAGCAAAGTGGTGTCGCTTTTGAAATGTCGATTTTATAACTTTTAAAAACGTCTGCTATAAACCCACACTTTAGGTATTATAAATGAAGCTGCTATCAAAAGTACTATTGGGATATAAGGTCCAAAATCGCCCAGCACCAGCAGTTGATTGGGATATGTAAATTTTAGAACCCTCCTGTATTTTAAACTTAGCCAGTATAGAAGGATTAGATTATGTAACTTTTCTGGTCGCTGTTGCACCTCAGTGGGTCCTTGATTTAGAAACGTTCAATTTTACAAAGGGCAGTGTCTAACCTTTATCGGGCACAGTCACAAACTCTCCATTTAAATTCTAAATTAGAATTACATAATCATTTAGACATGCAAGGCCCTGGGTAAGCTTGGTACCATTCGGTCCAGAACCTTTTTCTCTTCTCATCTGCTGTACAAACACATAAAAATTAGAATATACAAAACTATAATTTTGCCTGTGGTTCTGTATGGGTGTGAAACTTGGTCTCTGATATTAAGGGAGGAACATAGATTGAGGGTGTTGAGAATATTTGGACGGAAAAGAGATTAAGTGAAAGGAGGAATGCATATAGGATATTGGTGGGGAAGGCCTAGGCGTAGGTGAGTGGAGTGTATTAAAACGGATCTTAGACAAATAGCCCGGCACAGTCTCTCCCCTCGAGCGCGTCTGCATTCAGTGCGCATGTCCCCCCACCCCCCTTCTAACTCTTTCTTCCGTACTTCTCAATGGCCAACGTACTGAAACTCAATATAGGCCACAGACAACACGCATACCGGCTCACTAGCCTCCTGCCCTACACTATAAAATTAATTCTTCATAGGAGCGGTTTGCACAGCCCAATAAGGGCGATAATAAGAAACTAAGATGCTACATTTTTGACTGAACTTCGTTGCTTTCTATGAGGTTTTTGTCTCGAGTGGTCAGGTTTTACTCCACAGATGGCGCCATCCTTAGATACTACATGTCTTCACAAAATTGTTTCCATTTCAATGCATTGCTGCTCATGTACCTGCTTCTGTTAGCTAGGTTTGTAGCAAAAATTTCTACCTCCTTCTCTACCCTAGTTCCACTCATGTGCGTGTTTTATCACATTTTTAGTTTCATATTTTCCTGTTAACTAGCGCTGAAACAGCTTGGCCTGAAGTGTTTAATTAACTGCGTGATGTTCGAAATAATTACTTGTTTTTGCCTTGTATTTTGCTCTCAAATTTGAGTGAATGCAAGATTTTTTTTGTGTTTGGTACTATGGGCCCATTAGTGCTAAATAAACTACGATGAAGTATCCCGTTTTCATATGTACTAATTATTTTTAAACAAATTTCTGCAAACGTCGAACGTGAACGATTACTAAACGGGTAGGTTTTGATGTGGTGGCAAGCGTGAGCTGCCCTGACCATATTGAAATGACCGTTGTCGCAGCGCGTTTGATG